GAAGACCGCTGGGTTCCGCAGGCAGGCGGCTAGTCCCCTGCAACACCCCAGGGGTCCTGCCGAGGCTTCCAGGCTGCTGTCAGTGTCAGATGCCAGGGTCTGGTCGGTGGACATGGAGGAGATGTCGTTGACGGAGGAAGATGGAGGGAGACTCTCACTGCTGTTCACTGCTGCACCTGTGCTAAGAAAATGAAGACCAACATGACTAAATCTGGAGCCAGACCCATCGTAATGCTATCAGGATGCAGGAATGGGCAAATGCAATTGGGCTCTGCAGTCCATTATTCACTCAGCAAAGCTTCATAGAACAGGGAGCACGGGGAACTATATTAGGTGGTGAAAATCAAGATGAAACAAGGCAGCGTCCTGGTCACAAGTTACTCACAGGGTAGTGCAATGGTTATCAAATCTCACTCCATATTAGAAATCACTTGTAATGCTTTTTCACACACACAACACTAATATCCTGTCATACCACCTCCCATACCCCTGTACCTCCAATATTGAAATGCAATTGGCCTTTGGTGAGGTCAAGGCATTTGCAGTTTTAAAAGTGCCCCAGAGACAGTTAAAAATTAAAAAACCACTGGTTTAGGGGCCAACAGGTGGTGTGGTGGTTGAGGGCACCGGCCTCCCACATGGCTGACTATGGTTTGAGTCCTGAACCTGGTGCCTTGCTTTCTCACTTTCCCTCTCTCTCTCTCACTCTGTGCCTTTCTGGTCAAATTAAAATAAATAAAGTTAAATAAAATAATTATTAAAAAAAAGAAAAAGAAGAAAACCACTGGTTTATGGAGAAGACAGATAAGCAAAATCTTTCAATATAGCAGTCTGAGCCTTGTTACTTTTAATGAAGGGAACTTTCATATATTTATTTGGTTTTTTATAAGCCAGAGGGCATGTACACCTGCCAGAGACAGAAGAGGCAGAAAGAGGGAGAAAGCACCTCCTAATGGAGTATGGTCAGGCTATCATCCCTTCTTCATTTCTCCATCTTGTCCAACGTTGGGCAGGCTCACATGTGCACCTGATCTCAAGCCACCAGGGCAGATATTTAAACTGCAGCCAGCCATGTGGGATTTGGCTTCCTTAACCACGAGGTCACAGGACCAGTCCATAATGCAAGGAGGTTTTAAACAAACACAATTAAGGATCCTTTCCAGGAAATGTGGGCTGAGGTAAAGTCCAGAAATTTGAACTATTTGGCGACTATGACTCTAGAGAAAGGAAGCTAAAAAAGTAAATATTATTTAGGTCATTAATATGACATAATTTAAGACCCATATAGAAAAGTGAAATAAAAGTTTTGATTTATATATATATATATGTGTGTGTGTGTGTGTGTGTGTGTGTGTGTGTGTGTAATACTACTGATGATAAATCTACTTACATAAACTACAGGAGGTGTAAAACTTTACAAGAAAAAAAATAACAATATGCACTAATCCTTAAGTTAATGACAAGAGCTATTCAACTTTTGGTACATTTAATATGTATCTTTTGTATCCTGACATTTTCACATACAAAAAAAAAGCTTAGGCATTTTTCATGCTCTTTCAATTTCTAAAAGTATCAATACCTCCTAATCTTTAATGTCTCTATTAAAGATTGTTAAAATCCTCTTGTCATCATCTTCCTGTAAATACTCTCACTAAGAGAATGATGTGTATTATAAAGTTGTCTGGCTTCCGTGTATTCCAATTTTACTTGATTTTATCTCTTAAGACATGGTGCAGAGCTAGTTCATTTCCTCTCATGACAAGATTTCATTTACTAGCAGACAACCCTTGATTCTCTCACGTAGCTCAGATGCTCAGTTCTGTTTCCTCCTCCCTCATACCCCCCAATTCTAGATTAAATTATACCAGCATCCTTTATGTTCTTTCATAAATTCTAGTCTCTAATAATTTACTGTCATGATGATGAACCTCTCAGGGTCCTCTTCAATTTTTCCATCCTTTTTGCATCCTTATTAAAGGGTGCAGATTAAAACCGGACACAGTACTCTGATAAAGGTTTGATCAGTTGTGGGCCTGACAGAGTGAAATTGTGTTTTTCTTATTGTTCATTCATCTCCTGAATAATGTATTTCTATACTAAGGAAGGCTTTCAAAATCATAATACAGTTTATATTTGAGATATGAAATGAAGTTCATGTATCTTTTTGTAACAGCTTTATTAAAATGTAATTCACATATTATGTAATTTATGAACTTGATTTGTACGAATCAATGGTTTTTAGTGTAGTCTCAGCATTGGGCAGTCATCACCACAATCATTTTTGCAGCATTTCATCATTCCAAAGGGAAACCTCCATTTCTTCCCTACTCCCCAGCCCTAGACAATGGATAATCTACTTTTGTGTCTATAAAAATCACCTTTTCTGGACATTTCACATAAACAGAAGCATATGAGAAGTGATCGTTTGTAAATGGTCACTTTCACATAGCATGTTTTTAAGGTTCATACTGTAGAATCCATCAGTACTTCCTATTTATGACTGAATAATATTCCATCATGCGGATACATCATATTTTATTTATTAATTGACAGGCATTGTCTGGACATTTAGGTTATCTCCACTTTGGGATACTGTGAGAACTATTATGAACATTCATAGGCAATTTCTGGACATGTTTTCATTTCTCTTGGGTATTACCTAGAAGTGAAATAACTGGATCATAGAGTAACTCTGTTTAAAAATTGAGACACTGCCGGACTGTTTTCTGAAATGGGTGCACCAATTACTTCTTATCGGCAGTGCATGAAGGTTCCAGTTTCTCCAGATCCTCTTATTATCTGTATCTTTTATTACAGCCATCTTAGTATGTGTGACATAGTATCTCATTGTGGTTTGACTTGCATTTACCAAATGACTAATGAATGTTGAGTATTTTTTTTTCTGTGCTTTTTGGTCATCTGTATTTATGCATTGAACAAAGTCTACTCAGATATTTTGGTCATTTAACATTTTTTTTAATTTTCTTTTTATTATTGAGTTGTTAGAGCTCTTTTTTAAAAAATTATATAACTTTATTTTTTTGAGCGGTTTTTGCTATAGGGCACGTGCGCTCTCTAGAAAGGGAGACAGAGAGACAAAAAGTGAAAAATCACCCCCAGGGGGGATGACCACGCCACAATCCTTTCTCCTACATTCTCCTCTTAGGATCTTGGGCACACACACACATGCACCCGGTGTGAATTTAAGCTGCTGAGTCTCCAGGACTCAAATAGCAGTTGACTACATGGGAATCCAGTGACATAGCCATTATGCCAACTGCTGGTCCCCTATTTTTTTTGGGGGGGGGTAATATGCCATAGGGCACACATGCTCACCAGAGAGAGAGAGAAAGAAGGAGAGAAGTGAGAAAGCAAGCTGTCAGGTTCAGGACTCGAGCCACTGTTGTTCATGTGGGAATTCACCACCTGCTGGCCCCTGGAGCTCTTTATATAATCTGTATGAAATCCCTTTTCAGATAGAAGATTTGCATACAGTTTTCTTCTGTTCTGTGAATTGTTTTTTTTCTTGAAGGCATCTTTTGAATAACAAACGTTTTTAATTTTGATGAAGTTTATCTCTATTTCTTTTGTCACTTCTGGGTTTGGTGTTATAGCTAAGAAAGCATTTCCTAATCCAAGATTATGAAGATTTACTCCTATATTTTGTCTACACCAGGTGTATTTATGTGTATGTCCAAAATCCCAAGAGGAAAATGAAGGAGAAGGAATTGAGATGAGGCTATCCCCCCAGGGGTGATTTCTCACTTTCTGTCTTTATGTCTCTCTGTCTCTCCGGTGAGTGCAAGTGCCCTATAGCAAAACTCTTGCTTAAAAAAGGCAAAAATGGAATTGTCTTCCATTCCTTACTAGTGTACATAAATACAACTAATTTATTTGAAGATGTCTTAGTTATTGGCAGATTGGAAACTAAGCAGCGATGAGACATAGACCCCTCCTGCAATGTTTTAATTAATTAAAATGCTAGTGGTACAAGGATTTTTGCTAGTATGTTTTATTTGAATTAGACAAAACAACCAATTTGAGAGATTTTTTTTAAAAAAAGTTTTGGCAGAATGCGTACCAAAAAGTATTTTTCTATATAATAGTCTAGATTAGTCTCCTCTTGAGATAGGCTTTTCCTCCTTTCCTGGCTAGAGTTGATTATGTGCTTTTATTGTCACAGTTAAAGCTGAGCAATGACTGAAACAAGAGTGAGATGAGGCTTAGCTGAGATTAGCCTCTCTTGTAAGAACACCATTAGACATTTACAAATAAGCACAAACCCACAACTATGCGAGCTAGAGAAATTACTACAAAGATCAGTGAAGAATTATTTTCAGCAAAACACAAATTTACTGAATGAAGGCTGAAAAACCAGAGTAGTTTCGTTGTTGTTGTTGTTTTTCAGGTGTGTGATTCAGGGGTGGTGAGAAAGCATACCCAATGGAAAATGGTCACACCATTATCCCTCCTGCACTTCTCCCTCCTTTTGAAATTTTGAGCATGCACATACATGTGCCTGGAGTGTTTCTTGAGCCACAGAATCTGGGGCTCAAACCACACAATTAGCTACTTGGGACTCATCTGTCTTAACCACACACCATGGACTAGCCTCAGAGTAGCTCTTAATAAAAAAGAGGGTTGGGACCAGCAGTTGGTGTAATGGCTAGGTCACTGGACTCCCACGTAGTCGACCGCAGTTTGAGTCCCGGACCCAGTGGCTTAAACTCACACCGGGTGCGTGTGTGTGTGTGGTCAGGATCCCGAGAGGAGAATGGAGGAGAAGGATTGCAGTGTGGCCATCCCCCCTGGGGAGTGATTTCTCACTTTCTATCTTTCTGTCTCTCTTTGTCTTTCTGGTGAGCGCATGCGCCATATAGCAAAAACCTCTCCAAAAAGAAAAAAAACAGAGGGTCACACTATTAAAGCATTCCTAATACAGTTAATAATCATAATATTTTCAGTATACTTTTGGAACATTTAATGTTATGCTACAGGAGTCAATCCTTTCTATATACAGTTTTGTTGTGTGATTACTTCACGTTTGCTTCTTGCTTCTTTTTACTTCTCTTATTATACTTCTTTATTCTTCCTGTCTTCCACAGCAACTATCGCTACAGAGTGAGTACTCAGTTTAACAAAATACTATTCAGTGTTTTCATGTGTACTCTTTCAG